GTAGCCTGGGCGGCTTCTAAACAACTGACATTTATTGCTCACAGCTCTGGAGGCTGGAAGTGGAGATCCCGGCGTGGCAGAGGCTGTGTCTGGTGGGGACTCACTTCCTGGTTCATAGACGGCGCCTTCTCACTGTGTCCTCACGTGGTGGAAGGGGCGAGGGAGCTCTCTGGGGTCCCTTTTATAAGGACCCCGATCCCATCCATGAGGCTCCACCCTCAGGACCTCATCCCCTCCCCAAGGCCCCACCTCCTACCACCATCCCTTTGGGGGTTAGGGCTTCAAAAAATGGATTTTTGATGGGGAGTTGGCAACACAAACATTTAGACCATAGTACATCTCTTTTGCTCTCTCAGGGTAGAAAGTAACAGCCTTACATCTCTGATTCATTCATCGATGGGGTTAATGAGCTCATTAATTCAATCAGTGAACATTTTCGGAGCACTTACCTTGCACCAAGCATGGAGGACGGGTGAGTTATTTTCTCAATGTAGAATACACGAAGGCTGCTTTTAAAATATCACAGCACAAGTTGCGTCATCCTACCCCTGTGTTGGAGACCAACTCGTGAGCAGAGATGGGCTTTATATTGCAGGGGCGACCTTTCCAACAGCCTGGGGAAATTAGGGAAATACAAGGAGAAGTCAATGTGTATTTACTGATTTCGGGTTAAGTTACTTATATCCCACTAGGAGATCCACGAACTCTTAGACAATACTACTCCGTAATACTGTGATAAAGACAATTTATTTTTAGGTATACGGGAAGTACGAGGAGGAAACATCAGTTTGGGGTTTAGTAACACAAGCAGTTGTCTTTTAAAAGTTACATGTTTGTTCCTTGGTGATGGTTACTGCACTACGCAGAACTTTCCTGTCAAATTAACATGAAATATTGTATTAGTTTCTGCGAATTAAATATGTGTTTGGAAGGCTTTGCTGACGGGGGAGAAAATGATTAATTGTGAAATGAAAGTAAATGTTCACTTAGGTTTAGAAAATGCACAAAGCTGCAGAGGAGAGAATTAAAACCAACCGCGTTATTCTTGTATCCTTTGTGCAAAATTTCCAGACGCCATCTCTGAAAATATTTCCTTTCTCTTCTTCTGGGATTCCAAAGATGTTTATATTACATTATATGATATCGTCCACAAATCCTGGGAGCTCTTTTTTTTCACTCCTTATTTTGTCTTTGTATTTTAGATTGGGTAGTTTCTACTGACCTACCTTTGACTTGACTTTTTTTTTTCTCCACGGAGTGGCTTGCGCCCTCCTCCTCTGGCGAACCGGGAGTAACAGACCCTCCCTTCAGAGACAGCTCTCTTCTGATCTGTTGGCCTCGCCCTTCCTAAATCACAATAAAACCTGCCTTTCAAGACTCAGACAAAAACGTCCTGCTCGGCGCCGCCTGCAGAGCAGAGGTTGCTCCAGGATTCTTGCCGGTGGCTGCAAAGAGTATGCACGGCGAGGACCTGTCTGCGAGTCTCCGCATGGGCAGCGCATTCCGGAGGCTGCCGAGCCTCCGCATGGGATGAGCAAGGCTTTATTAGCTGTCTTCCACCACAGTCATTACTCAGGGCTAATCCGCTTTCTTACATTCCTGCATCCCCAGCCGGTGGGAATGCATCCAGGGGGAGCAAGACCGTAAATAATTAAAGCCTCATTTTTTTGGCATCGTGCATCAAGCATCTCTCGAGGGTCAGTTTTTACAGGGTTACTCTGCTCTGAAACCTTGCTTTGATTTCTTTTTTCTTCTTTTTCAGTGTTCCCCCCACAACCTGACCGTGTGGCTATAGTGACTGGCGGGACAGACGGTATCGGCTATGCCACGGCGAAGCGCCTGGCGAGGCTCGGCATGCACGTAATCATAGGTGAGACTTTCTACAGTTCCTTGTGTGTTACGCCTAGGGTGAGACGCTCAGGTATTCGTTCACAGATGTTTGCGAATAAACAGTGATTTCCATGTAGAAAAGACAGTCGGATACAAAACATCCGCAAATATTCAAAAACTGGAAAAGACAGAAAATTGTAATATTCTTCAGGACATGCCTGTAGTTTGTGCTTCTGTATGGATCGTGTATTTCTCCAGTGTGGGTCAGTGGAAGAAACAACACGTATCTTTATTAGTGTGCTTCGGCTGCTATTAGTACAACAAAGTACCTCAACTTACTGGGCAGCATAAACAACCACAATTTATGGCCTCACGTCCTGGAGGCTGGAATCCCAGATCAAGGTGTCTCAGGGCTGGTTCCCCCGAGTCCTCTCTCCTGGGCGTGTAGACACCGTCTTCTCCCTGTGTCCTCACGGGGTCATCCCTCTGTGCCTGTCCGTGTCCTCATCTCCTCTGCTTATAAGGACACCAGTCCTGTTGGATCAGGGCCCACCCTGGTGACCTCAGTTTACCTTAATCACCTGTGTAAAGACCCATCTCCAAACACAGCCAGAGTCTGAGGTCCTGGGGCTCAGGACTTCCATACGGGAATTTTGAGCAAACACAATGAAGCCCGTTCATAGAACGAGTTTTTAGAATATTGGTTTCTTCTGCTTGGTTTAACAGCTGACGTAGTTCTAAACTTTGGTGACCTTCCACTTTGCTTTGAGTTACCTTTAACACACTCACTGCCACGCGAGTTGTATTAACTCAGGCTAGTTTTGAGCCCGGGGCCTCGTGAAGCAAAACCCTGCAGCTGGTTTGCGAAAATCTTACTTGCTGATGTCCTTATTGTTGCAATGAATGATGGCAATTTATTAATAATTCTAAAACCTCGGATTGCGTTGCATATAACTCATGCACGGAAAACAATGAAAAACGAAAAATTAGAAGGGATTGCTTTGTTTTAATAAAGCACCGTGGCCACAGGGAAAAATTTTTTTTCTAGCTCGGCTATCAATGTGTTAACGTAGATCGTGGCATGAGAGTCTCCGTGGTGGTGGTGGTGTCTACTGGTCACGGGTCCCTGCACACCTTGGTGTTTCGGTGCCTTCATTGGCAATGGAAGGAAACGCTTGCCTTCCTTAGGTGGCCGGTCAGAATAATGACGCCCATCCTCCCCGTAAAAACTCATAGGTCCCCTGAGTCGCAGAGACGCCCAGGAGTCTTTGACCCAGGTGGGGAACCCCTCACCTACCCCGTGTGGCCTTCTGTTCTCCTTGGAGGTGCATGGTCCACGTGGGTGCCCCCAGCACCTGGCTCGCTCTCGTAACCCAATTAGACTCACGCTCCCCAGTTTGAGCCTTTTTCACCTTTGTAAACCATGAATGCAGAACTTTGCTTTCTATTTTTTTATCCTATTTTTTATTCTAATGTTTTCTATTTTATGGCCCTTCCCAAGTTTCACATTCTTTTCAAATAATAGTTTCTTACAGGCAATTCCTTTCCTTATAGAACCGTCCTTCTCTCGGGAGGTGACAGGGTCTGTAGAATAGTATTTATTTGTCAGGCTTTGGGAGCAGTTGATCATTTTTTGGGCACCTCAATGTTGTCCCCATCAAATGGTTTGTTTCCTCAGCGACATGTTTAAGGCCCACCGAACATGTTTTCTTTTATCCATTCTCTCAACAGATGAGGAAATGTTAACAGTTTTTGACAACTTCCTGACCTTGTCAACTTCATCAATGTCCATAACTCCCTTGTCTTAGGGTTTTAGGGCTGCTATTAAAAAATACCATTTGATCCAGCAATTCCACTACTGGGCATCTACCCAAAAGAACAAATGATACTCTATAGGAAAGACACCTGCACCCGAATGTTTATAGCAGCACAATTCACAATTGCAAAGATGTGGAAACAACCCAAGTGTCCGTCAATCCATGAGTGGATTAATAAAATGTGGTGTATGTACACCATGGAGTTCTACTCAGCCGCAAAAAACAATGGTGATCTAGCACCTCTTGTATTATCCTGGATAGAGCTGGAGCCCATTCTACTAAGTGAAGTATCCCAAGAATGGAAAAACAAGCACCACATGTGCTCACCATTAGATTGTAACTAATGAATCAACACTATGTGCACTTATGGAAATAACCTTCATTGGAAATCAAGCAGGTCGGGGGAGGAGGGGATGAGTATATTCACACCTAATGGTTGCTGTGCGCACTGTCCGGGGGATGGGCACACTTATAACTTTGACTCAAATGGTACAAAAGCAATTTATGTAACCAGAACGTTTGTACCCCTGTAGTAGTCTTAAAGAAAAAAAAATACCGTAGCCTCAGTGCCTTACGAACAGCAGAAACTTATTTTCCTACAGCTAGAAATCTGAGCTCAGGGGACCAGTGCTGTCAGGGTCTGGTGCAAGCTCTTTCAGATTACACATGGCACCTTCTCCTTGTATCCTTACATGGCAGACAGACAGCAAGGGGAGATTTCCGGGGTGTCTTTTAGAAGGTCACTAATAGCATTTATCAGGCTCCACCCTCATGACCTCATCACCTCCCAAAGGCCCCACCTCCTAACACCATCACACTGAGGGTTGGGATTTCAACCTGTGACTTTGCGGGCGACACAGACATCCAGTCCATTGCACCCTCTAGATGAAAAGAGTTTGATGTCAGATGCAGGCTAAGAGACAGAGGGCCCAGCATCCACTGCTGGTTATCCTTGCCCCGTGGCACCTCTAGTGTAGTAACCTTCTTCATTTCCCTAATCTTAGCAAAACCAGGCAGTGTTGGAAGAAAAGAACAATACCCCATTTCTCTCTGCTCTTTTTTTTTTTTTTTTTTTGCCTCTCTGGTGGTTTAGATCATGATGAAGTCTGGTTGGATAGATCATGTGAGGTCTAGTTGAGTTAGGTCGTATGAGATCTAGTTGTATCGAGTCATGATGAGGTCTACGTGGGTAGGCCATGTGAGGTCTAGTTGGGTTATGTCATGATGAGATCTAGTTGGATTAGGTTATATGAGGTCTGGTTGTATAGGTCATGTGAGGTCTAGTTGAGTTATGTCATAATGAGATCTACATAGATTAGGTCATACAAGGTCTAGTTAAGTTGGTCATGATGATATCTAGTTGGGTAGGCCACATGAGGTCTAGTTGGGTAGGTCATGTGAAATCTATATGTATTGGGTCATGTGAGCTCTAGTTGTATTAGGTCATGTGAGGTCTAGTTGGGTTAGGTTTTGATGAGATCTAGTTGGGTTGGTCATGATGGGATCTAGTTGGATGGGTCATGTGAGGGCTAGTTATATCAGGTAATGGTGAGGTCTAGTTGGGTAAGCCACATGAGGGCTAGCTGTATAAGGTCATGGTAAAGTCTAGGTTGGTTACTGCCTGATGAGGAAGTCGGGTAGGACATGATAAGTCTCGTTGGGTTAGATAATGCTGACTGGCCGATTTAGTTCATTATGAGGTGTGGTTTGGTTAGGTTGTGTGGAAGTCTGTTTCAGTACTAGCATAATGAGATCTGGTTGGATTAGATCACAGTCATGTGGGGTTTGGTTAGGTCACGATGAGGTCTGGTTCAGCGAGTGCATCCTGTAGGCACAGGTAGGTGACCTCCTGGTACCTGTGCAAGGAGAGCTGGAGCCCCAGGTGTTACCACCTCATTTAGGTGATGTTTACTGAGCACCAGGAGCAATAGAGGTCACCACCAAGTGTGTCCTTTCTTCTTGATTCAAACAGAGAGTAAACTCTGTTTCCTCACCCTACCTGTGTCTGCTTCCCCGTAGAGATTCTGCCGTGTGTGTTTAATTTTCACTGCACGGTACAGATCTGACCCTTCATGTCGACCCAATCAATTATGGAGTCTGAACTCCTCCATGTGACTTTGAGGATAATTGGCTCTATCCCCAGAGAGGCAATTTTTTATTTTGCATGACAGTTTGATTCAGAGTCACGTAATGAAAAAAGTTATTGTTGGACACTTAATGAATTTTATATTAAATACATCGTAAGAGATGGCTATATTCCACTTTAAAATTTTAATTCTCCAAGCTATTAATATTTAAAGAGCAATTACCTGAAAACGAATTCAGATTATAACCTGGGTCCAACTTGGACACATGAATATAGCTGGAGATACATCAAGTATGGGAACAGTTGCCCCATCTGGTCACAATATTTTAGTTCTGGTTGTTTCAAAACATTATTTTGGTGGGGGAGGGTCATTCTTCCATCATAGTACTTAATGAACTCAAATCTAAGGTTTAGACCAGAGGTCGGTAAGCTGTTTCATGAAAATTTTCATAGGTTTCCCTCATAACTATTAACTCTGCTCTTATAGTAGGAAGTCAGCCACAGACAATATTTCAGAAAATGAGTATGTCGATGTTCCAATAAAACTTTTTTGTACAACAGCCTGAAGGCTGGGTTTGGCCAAAGTTT